GAATAAAATATTATCAATTATAAAAATAGTTTGACTTGCTCAATAAAATTTGATGCTTCATTTTCTCTTTCAAAACGAGCATTCGATTGTAAAGTTGAAAACATGGTGAAATTAAGATAATCTTTTATCTTTCTAAAATATTCATTGTTTATAACATCTTGACTTGATCCATGTCTAAATATACTTCAAGTATTAAGAGAGGAAATACAGTAGTTGCAAAAAGTCTCGCTATCTGACAAAAGATACCTAAACTGCAATCCTTTTGCTTGATATTTTGACTAAAAATAGAGCTCGATAAATTCTGATTGCAAACAGCAATCCAAGGTCGACAGATCTTAATGCAAAGGATTTATAATGAAAACACTGTTTTGTCTCCCTTAGTTCCCCAAAAAGGTTCTTTTTATTGACATTTTCCTGGTTTTGCACTATTTCAATACGTTAATGTCAATTTTCTTATTTAATAAATAAAGATTCGCACGTCTATATCATGTCATAAATGGGACACTTCAATCCGCTATAATTTTGAGACGTTGGACAGCCTTTATTATCAGAGATGGTCTTAGCATATATCTCTTCTCCATTGATGGTTGTGATCATGAAATTTTGATTAGAACAGGATACTTACTGGAGAAGATGTCAAGGCAAGTGGTTAAAATTAGCCGAAGATATTGTTCTCTTTTTGACGGCTCTTATCAACTCTCATGTGATTATTATACTCAAAGAATACTTCATAAATCATGCAAATCCTCGAATGAGGCATCTAACATCATCAGATTCGTTTTCTATGTTGAAATATCTTCGTCTGAGGAAAACATCTATGTTAATCTTCTAGCTCTTTCGCATGAAGACTGATCAAGTTTTAATCAGTTCTTGTGATCAGCATTCACATGCTCTATTTGTAGTCATAATATGAGACTAAAGGGTTAAAGTTTAGGTACTTTTTATCTAGTAGCGAGACTGTTGTGACTACTGTAGCTAATTCTTCATTTCAATAAAACAAAAAGTACGATGATATTTAATTATTAATTTCTTTACACTTCGTTAAATATTCGTTTTCCATGGTTTTAATTCAAGTGTAAGACTAATTTTTTCTAAGACAACATATTAAATATCATCTGTTGTTTTGTTTCCCTTGAACAAAAATGTTTTTTTTTTTGTATTATTTAGATAACACGTATGTTAACAGTCCAATATCGAATGAATGAAGCCATAATGAATTGGTCATCAAATGAATTTTATCAAGGAAAATTAATTGCTGATGAATCAGTTAAATCTCATCTTTTAAAAGATTTATCAAATATTTCAAAACGTGATAATGCATATGAAATAGATGATGAAAATTTATCTCAATGTCCATTATTTCTTATTGATACAA